TGATTGAAAAACAAACGCACACTAAACCCTCACGAAAACCAAACCAAACCAAAACAAGGATGACATTTATTTGTGGCAGATGAGTAATTTTGCATAGCTGTCAAAATCTATGTCTTCTTTATATAAATCTATAATGGCATTTGCTTACGTATCCAGCTGATGACCAGTGGTATGCTTTACTTTAGGCCCCATCCCTTGCATTATCTGCAGTCTTCTCCAGGGTGGTGTTTCAACCTTATGGTTCCCTCCTCTGCCAGCCAACATCAGTCACATGTGTTTCTCCCTCTATGGCACCTACACTGGGTAACATGGAGGAGCTGCGGCTTTTTGGCTGTAAATGTGTGAAAGGCAAATTCTTTTCTGAAAGTAAACAGTATCATAACCAAAAGACTGAGGGTTTGGCCCAGATTAATTAAAAACCTGTATGTTTATTTCATTACTCTGCAATTTGCCTACCATTTCTCTTATTGATGGCACATATCATTCACCAATGTGCAGTTTTAGCCTTGGACTTAATGCTAAGATCTGTTCAGTATGCCACCAAATGCCTTTCAGGACTGTTGCCAGAAATACTCTCTTTCCTATCCAAAACTGACCTGGAGACTCTAATTCACTCACTTACAGCATCTAGCCTTGACTACTGTAATTCCTTGGTTTGCTGGGCTCGGAGCCAAATCGATTGGCAGACTCCAGCTTACTCAGAATTCAGCAACAAGGCTTCTGACCCAAACCACGCCAACTCTGTATCCTCTCTGTGCTGTGAATCTATATTTGAAAAGCATGTTATACATTTACTGTAACAGTTTCCTTTACACTGTAATTTTATGGGTGGAATTTTTCTTTTACCCTGCATGTCAACTGTCGCACTCTTACAGAATTTTTCTGGGCTAAATTGCCATATATTCTACTCTTGCACTTACAGTAATTTAGTGCAAAGCCCTTTTCATCCTATGTTCCTAATTGGTGGAATATGGAGTGAAATTCTACATGAAATCTGATTATTTCATCTGCCAGCAAAGACTTTTGTTTTTATTTTAACACATTGTGTTTCAGTTTCTATTTTGTTCCTTTTTTATACTAAGGTGTTGTAAAACATTTAGTTGCTGGTGTTCTTTATTATTACATACAAGAAGTTAAAAATAATGATGTATGCATGGCAGCTGATAATGTAATAAGCAAAGGAAAAATTGACTACTTCTTGTCTCCTGAACCCAAGGAAACATTTCAGCCTCCACTCAATCATGTATTTAAAATAGCCTGCTTGATAAATATCATGGAGAGTAAAAGTGTTCTCTCTACCTCTTAATTTACAGATGAGGCTATACTTTGGTTCTCATTTATTTCTGTTCTTCTCTGGTAGCATCATTTTCAAAAAAATCCTGTATCAAATATTCTCTTGCCTTGGAGATATTCTAGTTTTCCCTTTAATCCAATCTTGTATGCAACTTCTACAGGCATCGTTTAAGTGACTTTTGTTGTTGTTCCTAGGTTTTCTGGTTGTTTTTACATTTATACTTGATGGCAATACCCTATTCTAATAGCATGTTTTATGGCAACAGAAACTGAGGTTTAAACTTTCTTTTAATATGCTCACTATGATCTGGCACCTCTAATAAAGTGTATTGTAGTTACACTGCATTTATTAAACATTGACACTTGCATATCACTCTAGGCTTAGTTGTTTGGGTCTTTTTAGTTATTTATAACTCAGCAGAAAAGCAATTAGATAATAATCCTTTGTCTGAAACATGCCACATAAATTACCAGCAGCAGAATAAGTCGTTAGGAAAGATGCAATTATTTACATCCTGTGAGTTATATTGATAGGAAAAACAATGACGTGGTATGGACCCTTCCAGAACAAGGTAGTTTTTTAAACCCTAATTTAGTAAGGAAACAGCTTTGCATATGGTCAATGAAAATTTGATATAGCATAGAACTTACCAACAGATGTTTGACAATGAATATTTCATGTTACTTAATAATTCTACTTACCAGTTACAGTTGACAGTACAGTGCATCCTAGAGTTCAAGGTGCCTTAGAGAGGTAGATAGGATCTGTTATTTCATTTTGGAAATTTCTTTCTGGAGGTCAGGAGATAGATAGTCTGAAAACCATGGTCTGCAGCTAGACTGGGAACAGCTGTTTCACTCAGATTCTGCAGATATCAGCCCAAAATCTGGGGCCTCTCTTTGGCCAAATCTTACTCAGACATGGAGGAAAAATGAGTTAACTGGAGAGTTTCTCAGCTAATATAAACTCTGCTGGCTTCCCCTTAGGGATGAATCTACCATCCTTATGGGCTGTGTGCTGCTGGATCACTTACCCAAACAAATTTGATCCTGATTAGGGATGGGTACATTATGTCTTGTCTTCCAATTGCCCAGAGAACAGGAGTTACACCAGCTTTAGGCTTCCAGGGTGTCTGTGGGAGAACAAATGAATCTTGATGCAACATGGATTAACCTACAAACAAATGTGAACTGGCAGAATGGGTTTATATGAGGTTGCCATCTCAAAACACATGAATGCAGCATTTTGATGCAGTACAAAAAGATGTGAAGCCACTTTCCTATACTGTCAAACCATGGCCTTGGCTGCTCTTTAGCTCTAATGTAATGCTTGGAGACCTTTTATACTGGGTGTTACCTGTGGGTGTTTGCAAGACTTCATAGCCTAGATTGTTGTGTATACTGAAATTACTTGACATACATTGACACTTTCTTTGAATAGAGTAGTGGGATGTTGGTCTTTGATATGTACTAATTTAATATTCTCCTCTGCATTTCCCTTTTTTTTATTATCCTTAGCTGCCTATTGCATGAAGTTTCTTTAAATGCCTTGATTTTTAGCATCTAGTACTCATAGTATCCTACTTCCTTTAGGTTTTTTTAACTCCTCAAAGTTAAGTAAATGAAGGAGATCCTTTTTCTGCCTGCTTTGTCTACTGCAGTTATGCAAGAAAAACTCTTTGACATCTTCCTAGCTTGTGTTTCCATTGAGAAAAGTTTCTGAAATGATCAGATAATGACTTTTGATAAATCTTAGCACCTATTCACAGAATGGAAATTAAACACTTTAAGTTCAAATGTTTTTCAAAATTCAGATGATCTTATTAATACCTATTAGTGGAAAATGGCAAACTAGCTCTTCCTCATATCTTTGTGAATCTTTTCTACTTGAATTCCACTTGCAAACTAAAACCAGATTGTTAATTAAGCAAGATTTTCTGAGTACCTGGGTCATCAACACAACGATAGTAATTAAATTCTAGCCTCGGTTTCTGTACGTGTAATAATAGAGTGCTTTAGCATTTTCATTCTTTTCAAATTAATTGAATAAATGTACACAGCATAACTTCCTTGATACATCCACCCTTTACTCCAAGCAAGTTCTAATACGCTGAAGTTATCACATCTGCTATTAAAAATTGAATGGATCACAAATAGATCAGATTGTCCCAGTAGTTTTGAGGCACCTTCTTTAGTATAAACTACATATAATAATTAATTTTAAAAGACTACATTTATTTTCTATGGCTTTAGAAGTTAATTAACCAACCCTGATGACTGCAAAGAAAAACTTCCATATGTGATTCAAAATTCTGTAATCTTCCTGAATCTGAAAGCAGCCTGCAAAAGTGGTAAAAAACAGAGAATAGAAGAAATGTGCTCCTATTCAACTGAGTGAGGTTAACTTTCAGATCTAGAGGTGAAAGATACATAACTGACTTACTAGGTGGGCTCACCGTTTTAGAAAAGATGGGTTGTTAGGTATAATAAGATCCTCTACATCTGTGACTTGGGAGAAGGAGAGCAGCCATTGATCAACTCGATATGAAACCAGATTGGAGGGCATTATAGCACTCCTGCCACCATTTCTCAGTGAAAGAGAGGGGAGGGAGGTGCTGCAAGCTGCAGCCTTATGAAACAGTGGACATCATTTCAGCCCAGGAATCCAAAGAGATAAATAACCAAGAACCTTGTGAAAGAGTTGAAGCATTTTTCAGTTTGACTTCATAGGTTGACACAGCTGCTCACTCAGGAGCACATCCCAGGTCATTTGTAGAAAATCTCGATTTTTTGGTGGTCCTTCAGTTAACTGTGCTGGGATCAAGGCAACTTATATCTTGGCAACATCACTTGTAGGCAGGTCACTGTTGTGGAAGGACAGCGTTGCTTGTAACTGATGCAAAGGGAAAAAAAAGACTGTTGGGAGAAAAGGTTCTGAATTAGGATGAACAAACAGCTAAAAACTTAAGGATCTTAATTGTCCTAGAAAATTGTCCGAAAAATTGATGTCTGGCTTCAGAACAAATTCATAAGAGCTGAATGAGGGAAGCCCATTTCACATCTCTTTTTCATCTTATATGCACAAAAATGCAACTGTTCATGTACATAAACATACATAGGCCATGGACACAGGACAGAACGATCTCCCACAGGTGAGCCTGTTTATATTAAATAGCAGAGAAGCAGCAGTTGCAGGTACAGAATGCAGCATTAATGTATGGTTTAGCCCTTCCTGTCTGCTGGCAAATCCCCACTATCATCAGATAGCCACCCTTCAAAGCAAAGCCTGCTTGTCTTTCATGCTTTCGTATGTACAGCCTGCTCATCTGTACACCGCTGCTACAGGGCAACATGTGTCAGGTTTATGCCTTGAGTGTCGTTTCTGTAGTCACACACCTATAGCCACACAGGCAAAGGCACGTGGCTGCACAGAGAGTTGTAGCAGACATCACTGGGAAGCAGCTGCATGCGTGTTTTTTTGGTACATAGTTGTAAGTTGTGTAGACTAAAGTTATGGAGACAGACTTGAGGGGAGACATCTCCAACATTGATAAAATGTAAGTACAAAAGACACATCATTGGATGGATATTGATGATGTTGTTTCAGTAATGACATCATCCATAGACTCCTAGTGTCTTTGCTTTGCTTCTCTATAGTGATCACAACATAAATTGCTTGTCTTGTTTGACTTCCTTGTTCACCAAAGTTGAGCAGATTGTCGCCGTTTTCAACGCTTCTACCAGACAAAAAGCTTGGGACCATTTCTCGAAAGCCCAGCGAAAGAACATAGACATTTGGCGAAAGCATTCTGAGGTTGGTGATTTTATTATTACTTTCTATCCATCATCTCACAGCTGGATTGACACAGAACGAGTGTGATTTTAGCTGGACATAGTGTATTCAGCAATATTTACGGCTACCGTTTTAGCTGTTAATCAACTGGCCGTTATACAGTCTCATCTACAGTATGAATTGCTCCCATTGCTCTCATTATGATAATGGTCATTAAATAACACTAAGACAGAGAGCAATGTGTTTTTATTTTTCATGCAAGATTTGGGAAATCATTGGAGGATTATGTTTACTATCTAAAATAATGAACTGAAGTAGTGAAATTAGGAACAATATTTTCAACTAAGGATAGAATCAAGAACTATTTCTGGAAAATATCTTTTTAGGAGTCATCGTGATCTGTTTTTAAAAGAAGTATTCTGTAGCACAGATTTTTTTTTTCTTGTTGTGCCATGATATAGTCATTATAAGATGACTTTGCCTGGAAATAAAATAGAGAATTTCTTTCTGAAGTAATGACTTAAGCATATTAAGTCCAGAATTATGACTTACTCCTTCCCATTTGTTTTATGCTGATCTTTAAAAAAGTAGACACATCACTTGTATCGATTCTAAGTATTATGCTTGCAAAGAAACCAGTACAAATGTAATCATACTACCAGACAGAGTTAGCAATGTGGGACCATGCATGTGTGACTGTCATAAGCACGAACAGAGGAAATGGGATTCTAACTCCCCTTGCTGCGAGTGGCAGCAAAGGAAGCGATAGACCTCATCCTGTGTTTTGGTCATCCAGCTTTCGTTTTAATTCAGTATATACGCTATGAGCCTGTATTTTAAAAAGTAAGTACCGCTGTCTTTCTTTTCTTTCTTTCTTCTTCCGTTTTTTTTTCTTTTTTTTTTTAATATGAGCAACTTACATACACTTGGTTTACCTCCATGTAGTACAGTATGTTGATTGTTAGTATCACAGTCCTCTAAATGATTTTTCTCTGTCTCAGAATAAAAACTTTAGAAGGTAAGATGCACTTATTTAATTATTTTGTAGTACACTTGTAAAATAAGTGTTGTACACTTAGTTTGAGAAACACTAAAGTGCTGTGATATAAATCATTTGGATAACGTTTTAAGTGCCCATTAACTAATGCTAAATTACAGTTGAATACCAATGGCACTAAATGTAACATCCACATGAATACCAAATGAATTCTTTATTATCAGTGCTATTATGGTGAATACCAAATGACTTCACAATAATGGGACACTTAAAATAAAATGTTGGCATAATTTATTGGTACAAACTGTATTTTGCATTTTGTTCACAAATATTTCATATAAGTAGTGGATAAAGCCTTTGTTCAATTGCAAGTTGGGAAATTGGGGACTGATGTTTGTCTTATCTTTTAGAGAAGTATGAAAATATGATTTGCTAGTAGCTTATTTCAATTATATTAAGACCATCCCTTCTTAAACTAACTTTCTGTAAAGGGATGTAGTATGTCATTCATTTGCTGGCTTCTAAATCTTTAATAAACCGAAATGTGTAAGAGTTGGACTTTCCAGAAATGTTTATTCACTACTCACTTTTTCAAATACTCGCCTTTTGTTTTTCTAAATAGAGGACAACAAAAACAATTCAAAAACATGCGAAAGCTCTCACTTAACCAATATATTTTAGAAGTGCTGGTTTTTCAGATATTAAATATGATGGATGCCAAATGGCACCTTTGATTTAAATTATATTTTCTAACCATGACATTATTTGCTAATTTAATTACCTGATCACTTTCCCTTTTTTTCCGAATTTAAGAAAGCTTTGCTAGAAACCCAAACCCAAAGCAAACACTCATACACATAGACATTCCCAGTGGCAGATTATTGGCCTTGCTGACAATGTAGACATTGAGGCATCAAGGACATTTATCCCCTAAAGAGGGAGTAAATGTAAGCAGATATCTGCTCATGTATGCGGTATACTTCCCCAGGAAAAAGTGTGGGTGGCCTTTTCCAATAAGGAATTAAGGAACGGCTTGCTAATTTCTTCCAGAGGTGTCTCTGATTGCATGAGACACTGGTTGACAATTTACCTTAATAACTTGTTTTTTAATTTGAAAGTATTCTCATGTAAAATGCCCACTAATTAGCCTCCTTGCCTTTGCCAGAATTAATGGACACATATACATTTATCAGAATATTTGAGATCTGCTGATGAACCAAGGGTAGAGCTCAAGGGAAACGCCTTCCCTTTTTTCGCCCAGTCCCTCTCTGACAGCTTATTGTTAATTGCACGGAGCAGTGGTCAGACTCCTCAATGCTGTCTCCTCCTTCCACGCAACTCTTCCTTGTTTCAAAGATTTCAAACCACCTCTTTGGGAATTAGGCTCTTTGTCGGCAGAAAAATTAGCTGTCTGCGGACTGAAAAGGCCTACACTAATCACGGTGCAGCATCCCCGTGTTACACCTGACAGGATTATTAGGACAAAATAGAGTCCTCTCAATCTTCTCAGCGCTGCCATTAAAAAGCCAGCCGCTACACCCGCGCCAGCTTTTCTACCCAGAACAAAGACCGTCTAGACTCCCACAAAGCCCGGGTGCCTGCTGATCATTTACCCAGTGACATGTGCATGGGCTCCCTGCCCGCCTGCCCGCCCTTGCGGCGATCACCCAGAGACTGGGCTGTCTGTGCTGGCACTCGTTTTGGGTCAAGATGCAGAGATTTTCAGGACAACGTTGTTGTGCTGCGTTTTAAATCCCAGGCGATCTGGGCACAGGGACAGAGGGTGAGATTCCTTTGCCCGGCATTAGGCACCTACAATATAGAGTACTCCGACTGCACCGGCTGCTCGTGGCTCCCTTTACCATCAGCAGGGAGAACTAGGCGCTTTTAGGGTGTACTTAATATGACTTTGTGTAATGGAGACACCCACACTTGGTCGGATGAATCCTACCCCAAGTGGCAGAGAGAAGCAAGAATTATCTATACGTTAAACAGGCTGACAATCTCTTTATCAGTCTGCTTTATACACAGTTTTAAGCATTATCTCTGCTGTTAAAGCATTCTGCTATATTTAGTAGGACTGAAGATCACTCAACGTGGAGACTCACTTTCTATCTTGTTTTCCCTGAGTGTTACCTTTGATAAACTCTGTTCTTTCACAGGAAGAATTCCCTGTGCTACTGTTGTTATAAATATTCATATACAAATAAATATGATTACAATGATAAATAATGTATAATTAAAATCAGAGCAGTATTAAAAACAGATACTAAATAATACATAATGACTTTATGGAAGTTAATACTGACAAAAGGTCATTTTGGGTTTTAGGAGCTCCGAAATGCTCACAGCGAACAGCTCATGGGAATCCGTCGGGAAGAGGAGATGGAAATGTCCGATGATGACAGTGGTGACAATCCGAGTAAAAAGCTGAGAGTAGAAGATTCAGGTAAAGACAAATCCCTCTATAATGTCAAGTATATACAACTGTTGGTTTTTTAAAAGCAAACAAAAACTTACATCTGAGAAGTGACATATTAATAGCTGATTATATAAGATAGTACCTTATTTTAAACGCTCATAAATTAGTTATTTGAACGATGCAAACTGTCTCTAGGAGGTGTCTGTCACCTGCTACAATTTATAATGATGAAAATTCTCCAGTTCCGCCCTTGGCTGGAAGCATTATGTTTCTTTAGCAGGCTCTCTACAGTCTTGCATAACAGTCTGTCATTTCATGGTTGCAACAATGTCTTATTGTGAGACCAGTTGAAGTTATGTTTTGGTCAGTATTCTCTAAGCCTTATCTTTCTTTTCAACAAATACATAATGATGTATAAGCTCTCTAACAAATACGCTATACCATTTTAACTGCGTGTTTTGTGGAATCGGCTTTCAAGGCTACATATTTCACAATATGATACTGCATACTGCATTAATTTGACTCTCATTAGGTGACTATCAGGAAAGAAAGAGCAAGGGTGCTTGTAATATGTGGAAAGAAAAGAACTTTTTTGGTCTTCTACAAATAGTCTACTATCCAGAGAGGACACTCCAAGAGATGGCTCAGAAACCACCTGAATTACTGACTGATAACATGATCTGGATGGACCCTTTGCTTGATTTCTTGATATTGGCCAATAAAGTTGTGAATAGCTAACAAGGGTGTGCCTGTCTAAACACTCATCTTCAGAAAGAAAATTTACAGAGGCTGAAGCCAAAGCATGACTGGGAACTACCAGCCAGCAGTGACCTTGAAGGAAGGTAAAGAAGGAGAGAGGGATATGGAAAGAAACTGAGAGTCTGATGATGAGGATGATTTTGATCTAGGCCTTTGCATACAGGCACCATGTTAAGAAAGGAAAGAATTTCATCCATTCAATGGTTTCACATCCTTGCATGCCTGCATGGAAGCATGAATTCAAGCTTGCATAGAGAAGAGCTCTTTGGCTCCTTCTGTGACAAGATGCTGTGTGAGGTCAAATGACTCCAGAAGTAAAGACTACAGGAAA